TTTTTTTTTCTTTTCCATTGGCGAAACATAAGAATCAGCGTGCCAGATGAAAATTAGATAAAAACTGGGCCAAACATCGAACCATGAATTCAGACTCTGGAACGCGTTCTTCATCTTTTCCAGTGGAAAATTATTTCTAAAAATGATTTGTGGCAGTTGAAAAAGTCTCAAGTTGTTTTGTTAGACGAAAGTGAAAAACTGGAAAATAAAAAATTCAACACTAGCTGCGCAAATGATAATCGTAAGTTTTCAGTATGACGATTTTTGGTATGACCGGTACAGCGGTTATAGACCGCTATACAAAAGCTCCTATTATCCGCGTCGTTACTACCATCCGGACGTAACACCTAATCCACACTACTGGAATGGCCCGTACACTGCCTGGACGAAGCACAGAGGATTCTGGTATTTGCTTATTTGCAGCAGTCCAATGAAAAAGCGTTAAAACGTGCTGGATTTAATTTCTACCAACACCTACCCCCGGGAGACAAGTGCATACTGTTGACTCGATAAAAACCCCACGCATACTTCATCTTGCATTATCAGTCACACCGATACTCAGTAACAGACACACCCGCCTTAGAATTCTGTGATATTTTTGGCGTCCCTAGGCTAAATCTATATTCCACGCCCAACTTTTTTCGATGCTTACGCAAATTAACAGTACTAGTAGATTTTAACCCCTTTTTTGGGAAAACGCTGCGCTCGTCCAGCCAAACTTCGCATTTTACCGGAGAATTTAACCTTCCCCTCCCCCTCGCCATTCTACGCCGGCTAAATGTAGTACCTTAATCGATTTTGCGTCACACAGCTAAATTTTTCATCACTTTCAGTAGTTTTGTCTTTATCTAATCCTCCCCACAAGCTTTGTGAAATTATTTGCATCCGAATCAAGTTTCTGCGCTCTTTTGATTGATGATTTTAAGCTGTCCTTTCCATAACACAGAAGTGAGCAGGGATTTCCTTTTTTCATCGATTATATGAAAGAACAAACCGAATGATTAAAAGCCCGAGCCCAATCCACACCCGTGGTTTATGACGTTGACTTTCTACGAGACCCGCAGGCTTTTGGGGAGCCACTGGAGTTGTTGCAAATGTCAGTTAGCAACCATCTACTAGCAAGAAGTGACGATAGATCTTTCTCACAAGGTTGTTTACAACCAAGTTGATTGCGAATTTATCTCAACGTCATATGCCAGGAGAGGGAGTGGAATCCTTGTCCTGTTGAATGACAACAGTGCTATCTTCCACAGTG